ACGGCCCGGCGGGCCGGTGTCGCGCAGCGCGGTGCCGGAGCGACACGCGGCCGTTCCAGCGCCGCTCCCGCCCCCGGCGCTCGGCACAGGCGCGGCTGCGGCGCAGGCAGCGCCCGGCCCGGCCCGGCGGCGGACATGCCTGTGAGTTGTGTGCGGGCTCTGCCCGAGCCCGGTGCCGCCTGGCCCGGGCTCCGTGGGGACCTCGCGGGGCGGGGGGTGACGGAGCGGACGCGACCGTCCTCGGGCTCCCCGCCGTTCCCGGGAGCCGCCGGCGGCCGCCAAGGCCGGGGCGGGCCCGGTCCGGCCGTGCGGGCCCGGCTGCGGCCGCGCTCGGGGCAGCCCCGGCGCGCCCGGCCGGCTCCCGCGTAACGCGCCGTGCGCTTTTCCTCCTGCCCCACCCAGCTGGCCAAGGACCTAGTGCATCCCTCCTTAGAGGATGAGAAGAGGAAACACAAAAAGAAACGTCTTGTGCAGAGCCCAAACTCCTACTTTATGGATGTAAAATGTCCAGGTAAATATTTGAAATGTTCATGCGTTATGGAAGGAACAAAATTAATTTTGTGTAGCGTACGTATAACGGTTGATTATTATTTTTTATCTGAGTTAGGTATGTCTATTCTGTAGAGAAAAAGATCTTTATATTGCTTTGGGTTTTTTAACAATAAAAGTGTTTCCCATATTTGGAAAAAGTTCATGTAAACAATCAGACTTCTTTTCTGGAGGTTCTGGCATGAGGGCTTCTTTATTTGGGTTTTTTCCTTTATAAAACACTTTTATAAAACACCTGTTTACGTGTATAAAAAGTGAGATTAAATGGTTGCATTAAAGTATCCATAGCACAAGTTTCAAACAGAAGCCAGCATTGTTTTCCTCCTTTTGTAAGTTAGTTCTGGAAGAGCAAGGATATCCTTTTGACAAGGATATATGCAAAGGATACTGCACACATACATAAAAGTAAAACATACACCACTGCCTTTTTTGCATGTGCTGTTAAGAACTAAGCTGCCATCTAGCTCATATACAAGGGTTATAAGATGTTGCCTATGTCCACTTTTCAGAGATCTTCATTCCTTTGGCTCAGAGACATCTGTATAATCAACTTCTCTATCATAAACTAAACGATGGGATTTTGTAGCACCATGACAGGAATGTGCTCTACCAGTGAACAGCTTTTTTATTCAGCACAGTTACATCCACATTGCCCAGAGTGGTAACTTCCTAGCAACTGCTGCAGCATAAGAAGATTCTAGCAGTGAGAAAACACTTACAATAATGATCTTCCTGACTCAGAACCAGGGAATTGTTGAGGTACTCAGGTTTTCTAATCTTATTCTTTCTTAGTAGCCTAGTTTTCTAAGAAGCTCTGAGACATATTCCATCTGAAAGCGAGGTAAGTTAATTTAAACAACTTGAAAGTAAACTGTGGTTGCTTTCAGACAAATACAGGGTTGAAGGCTAAGCCTCTGGGGGTTTTTTTTGGTTTTTTTTACACTTTGTTCAAACCAGTATACATGAATGCATACACTGTGATACAGTTAGTGTCAACATAGGCCCATAGGTCATGGGTTATCTTCATTACTGTTGGGTTAATTGTTTTTTGTGTTTGAGGGTATATAGAGCAAAGCAGGAGAGCTTCAATAATGCTAGAATCCTATGCAGAGGGCATTGAAAATAGCAGATGGCCTTATGTGTCCCTAGGTCAGTGGAAATGGAAGTTCCTACCTTGGTACTCAGATGGGTTGGGCTCATTTGCCTGCCAACCCACAAACGTTAAAAACTCATCCACATGGAAGTTCAGCTTCAACAGGGGAAAAACAAAATTTGCTGTGATTAAATTTTGGCTCTTAGCAGTTTTTCACAAAGATTTGTACAGTTGCTCTTTGTGATTTAAGCAGAGATCTGTTATTTTGTCTGATAGTACTTCTCCCTACCAAGCTGACCTTTAGTCACAGGACCCTGCTCACAACATATAGTCTGTCTTAGCTTTCTGATCCACACGTGCTGAAAATGCAATCTCTGCTCACCTTTACCTATTTATTTTGTACATCCACATGCAGATTAAATCCTTTACAGGTTTTCTCCCTCCAAAAATATCACTTGGCTAATTAAAAATACTTTTCAGGGAAAGAAATTGAAAAGCAGTGAAAATCCCATTTCTAAGCCGTGTATGAGTGATCACATCCTTTCTTAAATCATAGAATTTATAAATTGTAGGCAAAAGCGTTGCATAGGGAATTAGTGAAATTTTTCTGTGCAAGTCTTTCCATTTAAATATTATGTTAGCTTTACAGAATGCAACCAAGCCTTACATGTACCAATTATTAAACAGAAAGCAAACACAGATTGGAACAGCAGTGTTTGTATTCCCAGCTTTCAGACTTTGTCAACAGCAGTGTTCTACTGTTACAAGTTAAATATTTCTCCAGCTACATGGGTTCCTCTGTTCAGCAGAGGAGGCTAATCTGGAACTGCTGAACTTCTTTACAGGAGATGTGATAGGCAAATTAGGGCTTGTCAGCCAGCAGGGTCTGTTGATTTTCATATGGGAATCAAACCAGTTCCTGTTACCTAACTTGCTTTCCTATGCTTGTAAGTAAAGGCAAGCATTTCAGAACACAATGGCTTGCTGAGTTTGGCTTGGTGTGTTGTGTAAGGAAATATAGATGCATTTTGGACAAGTGTATTTAGAGTACCTGATTCAATTAACACATAAAAAATGGTGCTAGAAATACCCAGTGGAAAGTTTCATAATGTTGTTTTTCAGGATGCTACAAGATCACCACTGTCTTCAGCCATGCTCAGACAGTAGTTCTGTGTGTAGGGTGCTCAACTGTCCTGTGCCAGCCAACTGGGGGCAAAGCCAGGCTCACTGAAGGTAAGGGCAATGTTACACAACCTAAATATGCCATTATATAAATGCATTTTATAGCCTGTAAATATTTTGGCTTGGATTTTGGAAACTGATACTGGAACAATGATTTTGCAAATTGCTTAGAGTTGGCTACTATGAACATTGTTAATAGGCCCAGAATTGTGAATTTTTCTTCAGATTCTTTGTTTTTAAATGGCTGTACAGATCTGCCAGGGAGCTAAACACCGACATTGTCATCAAACACATTTCATTTTAGGTGACTTGTCATTCCCTTCAGCTTGTGTAATGAATACTGCTGTTTAACTCTGAGCTGTGTTTAAAGTGTTGAAAAGCACCATCAAAGGTGCTTTTGCCAGGCTAAAGTAATTCTGTGCCACTGCTAGTCACTAATGGCTTGCCTGTTTGGTTTTAAACAGCCCTACTGTAAAGCAGTTCCCTGGCTCAAAGAACACTTGTTTCATATCAATTATAAGGGAACAAATAACCACCAATAATGTATATACAGGTAACTGGTATAACACCAGTATCATTGAGTGCAGCCCAATTCTGGGGCATGTGAAAAGCACTGGAAACACTTTAGGATTTAAAAAATGTAAAAATTAATCCAGATTTTATTAATTTCTTGTTTAAAGGGCAAAAGGCAAGCATGTATACAAATTACACATAGCAGTGCTTATATAATGTGCTGCTACACAGGGGTGGTAAACATGAGGACAGAACACCTGAAGTGAGGCTGTTGAGCAGTTGAAATGGTAACAACACACACAGCAGCTGTTTCAGTTTGGGGTTTGTATCACTAAAGGATGGAACAGTAGACTGACATTTTAAAATGCATCTGGAAGAAAAGGAATAGTACATTTTAATCTTATTTTAAGATGAATTGCATGACAGCCATATTGTTCAAGTTGAGCTAGAGAAGACCTACAGTGTTAAATCTTCACCTCTTATGGTACATGAAATTTAAATTTAATCCATGATTTTTTCTACTTACATTAGATGGATAATTTTTCAAGGCAGTCTCACAATTTAAGGGCTATTCATATCTCTACTCACGTGATTTCTTTGCAGGCTGTTCATTTAGAAGAAAGCAACACTGAACAGTTCAGCATGTGATTTTTGGATCTGTGTTCCTGAAAGCCTTACCAGTTTAAAAATGCCTGTTACAACAACAATGTAATTATGATTGATTTTGTACAAATTACATGCTACTGCTGACTAATCTGCTGGAATCTCCTTTTCAGTAAATGATCTGAAGTGCAAGTTCTTCCTGTAAGTTTGCAGACAACCAAGCTCTATTTTTATAAGTTTGTTTGAACAGTAAAAACCTTGGACTTCCTGCATCCTTCCTTGCTAATCATAAACTACAGCAGTGTAATGCATATAGTGACAGAAACTGCTTTAAAAATGCATTTTGTGTATTCTATTACTGCAGCTACCGTAACTGCAAGGGTTGCAAAAGCTAGATAAGATTTTAAATGGCTCATTTGCTTTCAATGTTGCTGTAGTCCCTCCCCGCTCTTGGGTAATGTGATGATAAATAAAAATGAAAAGTTACTCATCTCTGTTCAGCTGTTTCTCTGGAATGCATGGATTTCCCTCCCCCCAAAACTGCCCTTGGTATTCTAAACTGAGATGTCTATCCAAAAAAAACCAAAACAAAAGTAGTCCTTTGCAAAGCACTGAAAACATGCAGTATAGAGAAGGCAACTGGCATATAAGCAGTTGTAAGTCATGGAACTGCACTAAGAGGTGTGAATGGTGTCTAGGAACTAGTACAGCAAACCCATGCATATTGTTAGTATTAAATACTGACATTAAATAATTGCCTTCTTGCAATAAGGAAAATGGTTTAATTTGTTTGTGAAAGCCATGTCTTTCTAAATGGCTGGTAAAAATGGATTTTGTTTTTAACCACGAGAAAATACTAAAAAAGAATCTTACATATATCTTATTGTATTAAGTAATATGTCAAGTTATGTATCAACAGCTCTTTAAAAGTATCAGGTGTCTTGGTGAGCTAATTATTATTGAGATTTTCTAATTAGCTAATATTCTTTTTATGACTTTGAAAACTTGTACATGTCTAGTCAATAAAATAAACCAAAAACCTGATACTACAATTGGTTGCATTTGCAAGGTAGGTTTTATTTCTGTTATTTCAAACAGCAAACATGTGAATACCATATGCAGAAGGAGGTGTTTGATACAGAAACAGGTGTACCAATGGAATACACATGCCTTCTAAGAAAAATAGGGGTTTATGTCAGTGCCACTCACAACAAAGGTTCACTCACAGGTAAGTTTATCATGAAAGCTGCTCTTAATTGACCAGACATAGTCTAGTTAGTTTCTCATGTACAATGCCAGCCCATCAAATTACTGGTTTTAGAACAAAGTTCAAAGTAGCAATATTATTTGTGACCTGAATACATATGCTAAGGCCAGATTGATTCCTAGTCTCTCATATCTCTGCCTTGTCTACCCTAAAAGATAAGAACTCATGATTAATTTAATATCAAAGCAGAGACTGTCAGGGACCCATTTTGTTCCAGGTACTAGAAGATTAAATGATTGGATACTCTTGAGATAAAGACAATACATTATTAATGAATAAAGAAGTGAAATTTTGGTGAGTGGGCCAGAAATCCCAAGCAAACAGTTTTTAAGGTACAATAATGACTGTAATTATGAAGAATATACTAAACTAGTCTTATTAGCTCCAATTAAAAATGCAGGTGAAACACTGACCCCTCCAGATACTAAATTTCCTGGTTTCTTGGTCTTGGCTAATAAATATTACCATAGGCATAGTGGGAACAGAGATGGCAGCACGCTGTGTCACAGGGCAGGTGACAACTGTGAAGATAACACCAAAAGCATTAGTTTGGGAAAGAGGCAGGTAGAGCTGTCTTCTGCTAGCTGCTAACCAAGACACCTTACTCCTTATATTCAGAGCAGCAGAGCTGCTAAGCAGTGCAGGAACCTTTCCTGAAAGACATTTCTGTTTTGTCTCAGCCTGGAAGTACTGTCTAATGTAACTGCAGGGGAAGTGAGGTGGGGGTAAATCTTTGAGGTGACAGAGATCTTCCATGCCATTGTGAAATACATAAAATGGACACTTCAGATGCTACTTTATTCCCATTGTGAAACTGATCATTAGAAAATCTCCCACCTGTAGTCCCGTGTCCAGCTCTGGGCCCCTCACTTCAGCAAAGGCATTGAGGAGCTGGGGCATGTCCAGAGAAAGGCAGTTGCCATTCTTTCTTTCTCTGGGGGACGGGTCTGGAGCACAAGTCTGACAAGAAGCTGAAGGAGTCTGGAGAAAAGGGGTGACCTTATCACTCTACAACTCCCTGACAGGAGCGTGGAGCCAGGGGGGGTTGGCCTCTTCTCACGGGGAACAAGTGAAAGGACAAGAGGACATTGGCTCAAGCTGCACCAGGTGAGGATCAGGTTGGACAACAGGAAGAATCTCTTCACAGAAAGGGTGCTCAGGCATTGGAAGGAGCTGCCCACAGAGGTGGTGGTGTCCCCACCCCTGGATGCAGCACTTTGAGCTGTGCTCCAGCTGCCATGGCCGTGTTTGGTTGGTGAAACTTCTACTCCTGGCTTCAAGCATGGACTTCGAGTTGTATTGAGCTATTTGAGTTCCTAATTCCTGTTTACAAGGGAGTATCTAGGCTACAGAATACAGTGCCATTTCTGGCTACCAAGTGTATATCACTCAAAAACAACAGGACAGTTTGACACCTTGCACATTGTGCTATTTGGGTGGATTTGACTCTAGAAATAATACCTTTATTGCACAGTAAACTAATTCTACACATTCTCTGTGTCCAATAAAAATGGATGAGAGAATATCTAAAAAATGAAGAGAATTTTACTTTACATTTAAATTTACTTTACATTGCTCTAGATTCATTCTTTTCTAGTTCTTAATCCACAGCTCTGACAAAAGCCTGCTTCTGGGTATAAATCTGCATTCTGGAGGTAGCTTCAAGGTTTGGGTTTTGTTGGTTTTTTAAGCAAGTTAGGGAAGTGGTAGGTAAAAACAAAAAGCAATGGTGACACAATTTTTTCTTCAAAAAGTAATACTGAATAGTTGTGGCAGACTGGAACTGTGAGAATAACAAGCAACATATTTGTGTGCTAAAATCAAGATGTGAAATTTTTCAAAAGTTTAACATTCTAGGTAGATAATTTGTACTTAGTGCAAAAAAAAAAAAGGCTATTTTTTAATCTTGGTCACGTGTTTCACTAGTTGGTAAAAATAACCTGCTAAATATAATGATCATTTACACAGGTACTACAGAAAGTCACCTTTGACTGATACATTCTCATTTTCTGTAAGTTAGGAACTTCCCTGAGAGATGAATTCCAGTTAGACGTAATTTTAGCACCACTAGCAGAGGTTAATTAAGTGAATTATTTGTGTTTTTTCTTCCCATATTCTTAGTGAACTTGAAGTCCAATTACACCCTTCTCCCTTTGTTGTTCAGCCCAGTGAGCTCAGTCCCACACATCTCCTTTAGCCCACAGATTGTGCCCGTTTCTCTTTATCGAATTCCCTTGCGATCTTTAAGGCAGTGCTGTTGAGCGAAACCGATTGCATATTGCAGATAATAGTGACAATGACACCTCTCGGGGGTGCCACTGGCCAGGTACCCACAGCTTCAGGGTCCAGCTCTTCAGGCAGGATGAGGAGCACGCTGCTGGCCCCCACGGCGCCCCCGGTGTGAGATGCATAGTGCCTCTGCTGTCTGCAGCAGCCATACTGTTGGTTTTTCTCCACCACAGCCCAAGCCATGGCGTATTTACCATCCCTGTCCCATGACACTTCTGTTTTTGGCACTGGAGTCCACATCATTGCAACTGTGCTTGGCTTGAGGTACCCTGGAAGAAGTTTGGCGTTCTTGTTTTTAAATTGTCCGGCTTGGTAACTGTACAACAAGGCATTTCCAAATTTCAGGAGGTCACCTACTGATGACAGGAAGCCACCACCAGCCCACTTGTAAGAGTTGTCCACATACGGTGCATTTACCAGCCGTCCCTTTTTGTTGTAAATGTAACACCTAAAATTCAAGAAAATTCAACTTGTCATTTTCATGGACTATGCACCATGGTTTTAAGCTGCCCTACCTTAAAAGAGCAAACTGAGCTTGTATTAGCTTGTTCTTGTGAACATTTAGAGGGTTTTTAAAACATATTTTTAAAATATATATTTATTGCAGAAAAGTCAACAAGTAATTCAGACAGAAAAACAAAAATTAAGGTGACTTCTTAGGTTAGAAGCTGAACTTCAATAAAAGTACCAATCCTTCTGCTTAATCTTAGGATATAGTAAGAATAAAGGCAATATACAAATAAGAGATGTGACAGAGATAAATAGAACAGGCACCACAGATTTTTTTCTTAAATCCCTGTACTAGAAATGTTTTTAAAGAACAAGGAATTCTACAACTGAGGCTTAGGTGACTGCTCTCAGACAGTAGTTCACATTTTTGGCTGATTCCCCCCAGTGCCCCATTATGGTTGCCATACTCTACAACAAAGCAAGGAACATTAAAGTCTTGTATAACACAAATGTAGAAACTACCAGCCAGAGCTGCATAATAAACTATCAGGAACAATACAACAGAAGTGCAGGACAAATTGTGCTTTTGAAAGAAAGAAACAGTCCAATCATAATTTGATTAATTTCATACAACATATGAAAAGGACTTGTGGAATAAGTATATAACCCAAGGAATTTCAGCCTTTGGTCTTTAGACCACATAAGGTCCATGGAGAGTTATGAAAAGGAAAAGCCCTACCTAGATTGGGAAGCTTTCTAGCAAACTTCTGAATAACTTATAACACTGGAAGTCAGAGGTTGAAACAAAGGAAGAATGATGAATGGTCCAGGATGCAAGACTACCGTCAACTCTGACAGTGATTTAGTATCCTGTTGTCCCCATAATGAGTTTATTGATCACAGAAAACCCTGTTACAAAGACATCCACTTATAGCTCTAAAAGATCTAGAACACAGATTTTTAAGCATTTCCCTGTTAGATAGATATAGTATAACCAAAGTATTAAACAAACCTCAACATGTCAATACATTCTATTTTGAGGCATCAAGCTCCAATTTGTGGAAGCAAACCCATCAGCATCTCAGTTTTGCTTGACAGTAAGTACCTATAAAAACACTCCCAGAAGAGCATCTCTCCCAGTTCTTTGATCCCTCCCATATTTCAGTTTATAAAAGGATGAACATGTTCTAAAAAACCTTGACTGTACAAAGTTGATAATTTATGAGAACATCACCATCATCCAGATGAGCCTCTGATCCTACAGCCAGAGAGCCTCTGAAATTTTGCAAGCAAACTGAACACCAGCACAAAGCATCTTGGAATAGAGCAGTGAAGCTGTGCACACACACTTGCAATATATGCCTGTACTTAGTATAAACCTCAGCTTCAACATGTTCATTGTTCTTTGAGAGCATTTTAGAAGCTAAACTTAAAAAGTCTGAGTCTCATTTTCACAAGACTGTTAGTAAAACCTACTTTGTCATTCAACAGAATTCTTGTCCCACACCAAAATTTAACAGAGGAGTCAATAATCAATTTCTGAGCCCAGACAGGAAGTTCAATAAAATAAGACAAGAAACCCTAGCCTGATCCACTGTATTGGAATAGATTATCCAGTTACAGAAATTTCTCTCAGCTTGTTGTTTTATTTTGGTAGGAGTGGGGGGTTGGGGATGTTGTTTTGTTTTTTTCCTATGTTAAATTAATTTTTAAAATAAATTGATGTTAAACAGGATTTTAATTCTGGTCAACATTCATACTGAAATTTGATTTATGAAAACCTTGTGTTACTTTGAGACTATTACAATTCCTTGGAACCCTTTAATTGCCAGTATATTAAGCAAAGTAAGGTAATTATATATTCCGACATAATTTCCTAGTTACTCCTTATTTTATTTGCATTTATGAGCTTACTTGTACCCAAAGTAAATGTAAACTTTGAAGCCACCCCTATTACTCCCCTCACCTCCCATGTTCACACTTAGAACAAGAAATATTTATTTCTTATTCTGTAATTTCACATGCTAATTACAAAACCTATGCCATGGCATTGGAACCAGCTACATGAGTAATGTTGAGGTAACATACAACACTTCATTCAAATGTCTGGGAAAATAAAAATCACACATTCTTAATTCAGCTGTCTTAATTAAGGTAAAAAGGGCAACAGTTGTAGTGGAAAAAATAAGGAGTTCCACCCCTGTTTACCTTGCTCTGTTATATATCATTGCTTCATTGTCATCTAGGACAGTTGACAGCATATCCAAATCACGAAACATTTTCAGCATATAATCTGTAAATTTTTGTCCTGAAGCTCTCTCCACAACAGCACTTAAGAGGGTAAAGCCATATGTTGAGTACAAGAACTGACTGCCTTGAAAAAACACAGTGAGAAAGGGAAAACCCCAAGTTAATTGCATGATACTTAAATGGAGTCATGCATGCAAATAAAACTATATATAGCAATTAATAATCAACCATTGTAGATCCTAGGCCTAGGAAATTCTGTACAGCAGCAGACACAGATCCTGCTGAGAGAACAGCACTACAATCTTCCAGGGATCTCTGTGTGCAGTCAGGTTTCATGCCAAGGTGTCAACACTGACATTTAACATCCTTTCCAGGAGATTTACCACATCAGGTCTAACAAGGATGTCTGGATTTGGAAAGCTGACACAAGCCATAAAATTACTGCTCAAAAGAAGCTCAGCTACTGTGACTTGTTTGTGTGTCCATACCCTGGAGAAGGGAAAACAACAGCAACACTCACATTTTTCAAGGCTATTCATCACTTTTAGCACAGTGCTTCTATTTCTAGAATATCCCAAAACATTATATGAACACAAGCATGAATATTATTTAAGACAACAGAATTTATTTAAAAAACAACATTTCATTTTTTAAAATCTCATTCTTGTGCTAATGCCTTCTATGAAACATTTACATACTGAGCAACTGCTAAAGTGCCTGCAGTTGAGACAGAACTTTTATTTGAAGTGAGCTCTCCAGGATGGTGAGTGTTTAACTTCACTCTCTTTCTGCCTTTCTCCCCTTAAATATACATTATTTACTGTTTATCAGCAATGCATGTCATTTACCTTAACCTAAGTAGTTTAAAACTTACACTTGAAGTTCCTCAAAGTCCTCTCTAGACCTAATTTAAATAATCCCAAAAATAAATTACTTCAGTAATTCTGTGATCCTATGGGTTTTTTTTATAGATTTTTTTTTTTTAGGTCTGATTTAGTGCCTCAGTAAAAATTTTTGCTTTTGGTTCCTATCTAGAAGGCCCAGAACATGACTACAGCAAGTTGGTATTTGCTTACAAAATACTTTGTAGATACACATTTGTTACAGAATTATCTTCTTCTTTAGCACTTATAAATCCACTAACTGGTGTGTTTCAGAGCACTTTCTGCATTACTTACTGCTCCTGGGAGGAAAATCTCATACATAAATACTACATGACCAGGTGGTTTGTGCAGAACAGACCAAATACTTCTCTGTTGAGCTTTTAATGGGGCACATGAAGGAAAAAAAAAAAGGGAGGGAAGCAGAACAAACCAAAACTTCCACACAAAACCACTCTTCCCTGGACTTTACTATCATCATTATGTGTAAAACTGTTTGAAACAAAACTCTTACCAGAGGAGCTTGTTTTGGTCTACATTAATAGAAACTCACCTGGTTTAAAGAATAAGGGATCATTTTTAAATATCTTCAGTGACTCAATCACACTTTCAAATTTTTCCTTCAAATAATACTCTTCCTGTTCAAATTCCTTGTCGTTCCTGCCAGGCTTTGAATTTCTCCTCTTTGTCTCACTATCATGTTCTTTCTTCTGTTTGACACAATCAGTGTTTTCAGTCCCTTTACCTTCTTTTGCTTTTTGTTCTTTATCCTGATGGGATTTTGTTAGCTTAAGTGCTCTGTTTGCCTTTTCCTTTTCTTCTTTTACTTTTGTAATGTCTTTTTCATAGTGACGAATCCCACTCAAGTGTGAAACTAACTGTCTTGTGGTAATAGTGACCTAGGTGGACAGGATAATGTGAGCTCTCTTCATTAAAAGACAAACAATAAATCAGCAACAAAGTAAAATTCACCATGACAAAGAAGAGATAAAGGTGCAAGACCTTTTAAATATCACATATTAACCAGAATATTTTTTAAAATCTATATATATGTGGACTACACACTTGATAGAAAAGTGAAGATCCAAATATGCTTTTTTTGAGCGAGAAACATCACTACTTGTCTAAATGATTTTGAGTGTTTTGTAGGAATAGGTCCGAATCAGGCACCCGTACACAGCTCTGTCGTGACCAGACCAAAAAATTTTTAAAACTCTTACCAATAAACAATTACAAACCTTTTCACCCTCGTAGACTTTTTCTGGAAATTCAGGGACATATTTCTGCACTGGAGCATCTAAATCCAGTTTCCCCTCTTCCCACAGTTTGGCAACAGCCATCATTGTGAGACACTTGCTGATGCTGGCGATGCGCATGATGGTCTCTGGCTTGCACACCACGCGGTTCTCTACGTCAGCATAGCCCAAACCTGCCAGCAAACAAAAACACTCTGCTGAGTCCTCTGCACAGAGACATGCTGAATTAAGTACATGCAATCAATCAGATTTACTGGCTCTTCAAAATATTTTTCCTCCAGCTAAACTGGGATACGAAGCATTGGGCTGTCCCAGCCCCTGCTTCAGTTCAGTCAATAACATTTTAGTGTAGTAGCAGCAGTTAGTCAGAGCCCATTGGATTAGCAATGGCATCTCAAGTTGCTGATTAAGACTACAACAAACATAATGATAAATGAGATTAAGATTAAGCCAAAATTTACACTCCTGAGGTCAAATTTTCAGTGTATAAACCCAAAGAGACCAAAATCTAAGACCATAAAGTAACTGACCAACAGTTATAAACACTCCTTTTACTGTTCTGAATTAATGGCTGAAGCAGTAAAGGGTCTTATTTTATCAATACAAAAATTGAGAGAGGAAATCACTCACAAATTCATACCAATTACCTAAACTGTAAGGTTTCACAGAACTGAGGTGTTACTATGTTTCAATATCACTCAGCATGACCTCAATTAAAATACAACTTAACAGTCTCTGTGACAGTGTTTTCCTATGTAACTAACCCACAAGTCCGGTAGCAAGAACTGGAATTAATAAGGCATTATCAAGCTGCCAAACTAGTCTTCAGTTTGAGTGAGGTTTGAAGAAAGTGCAAGTGATGTTGCAGCATAAAAGCAAGAAAATTCAGCAATGACATATTTGCAGTTTGCAGTACAAGAAAGGCCTGAAGGCAACACACCTCTGTCTCTATAAAACTGTAGTCTAACAATGAACTGAACAATAAAACCCCAAACCTTGACAAAGTACAAGAAATAAAACAGATGACATGCCATTTGCCCAAGGCCCTTTCTCTTATATAGTTGCTACTCAAGTGCCTGTGGTTGTTAATGCAGATGCTGTTCCCCTCAGTAAAAACACCTTTCTGAAAGGATAATGCCTGTTAAATCCCAGCACCTTCCCAGTAAAGCTACACCTCAGCCCACAAACAGGAGGCAGGTCACCAAACGTGAGCCCTTATTCCTCTGACTGCTAAGGAAGTTCCTGTGGGGAGAACAGTTCTTTACCTCCCACATACAGTGCTACCAGAGCCCTGTACAGCTCTATGCCCAGGGGACATTCAAAGGTTAATCTGAAAAATTAATGCAAGAAAGGTTCTCCAATCTAACTGCTGAGACATACTAGCATATTCAGGAAGTTAACAAATTATCAATTCATGGAAATGATTGAAGTTTATCAAGGAAGGTGTCATTTGATACTCCCTAAGCACCCATTTCTGGCTACTGTCCAGAGATGGGACATCAAGCAGACAAAATCCCAGCCTGATTAGCTTGTCTGAATTGTTCATTTTTAAAATGTCCATCAGTTCTTGACAGTATGTACAACTACTACTCCCATATACTAACCTTCTGACCAGACTTCCTTTCCATCTACAGAAACTCCAACTAAAATACCAGGGATTCCTGCTTCATCCTGCAAAAAAACAAAATGGAGAGAAGACATTTAGATGGATATTTAAATTAAAATCTTCCCAAGCCCTTGAAATTAAAAAGCTACAAAAACCCTACAAATAAACCTGCTTATTGTTGTCAAATTATAGTTGAAATTTTGTTATGTACCAGTTTGGTTGAACCGGTACAAACTGCTTTTGCAAAGCTGACATTTCAGCTCAGCTATTGGGAGAAACATACCTAACAAGAATAGCAAGGTAATAATTTTTACTTTAATAATTCAATTAAATTACTGAATGGAACACGCAAAAGAAACAAAACATGACAATCAATATGCAACCGGCAAACTGCATCACCTACTGGCAGGCAAGGCTTCAAAAAAGCTTCAGCTGGATTTTCGAAGTAACTACAACGTGCTTTTTAAACAGAATCACAGAATATCCTGAGTCGGAAGGGACCCACAGGGATCTTAGAGGCAGCTCCTGGCCCTGCACAGGAGAGCTCCAACAATCCCAGCCCGTGCCTGAGAGCGTGGATCAAACACTCCTGGAGCTCGGTCAGGCTTGCGAGCAGCGACCACTTACCTGGGGAGCCAGTTCAGTGCCTGACCACCCTGGAAATAAAAAACTTTTCCTAACACCCACCTAAACTTCTCCTGACATAGTTTCCTGGCATTCCCCAGTCACAGAAAGGCAGAGATCAGTGCCTGCCGCTGCGCCTCCCCTCACGAGGAAGCTGCAGGCGCAGTCAGGTCTCTCCTCCGGGCTGAACCAAGTGCCCTCGGACGGCTCCTGCCTCTCCCTCCTACAGCCTTTAAGGCCCCCCTTGTTCTCACATACCCCATACTGTGCCTGCCACACTTCCGTACACCCCGGTATCAAGCTGGCCTGAGCTGCGCCAGCACCCACAGCCTCCAGCGGTGCCCCCTCAGCACCTTGATCCTCCGCACCAGGTCCCTGCTCCTCTCCACGGCCGCGCCGAAGCCCCGCGGCGACGGCGGCTTCTCCGCCCGCCCGCTCTCAGACTCGCCTCCCTCCGGCGCCGCCCGAACCCCCAGAGCCAGCCCCAGCGCCAGCCCCCAGCCCCAGGGCCGCGCCCCGGCCCCGCCGCCCCCTCTGCGGGGCGCGGGGAGCCGCCCGGGAGCCGCCGCTGCAGCGGCGGGACGGGCTCCGGCGGGACGGGCTCCGGCGGGGCTGCAGCGGCTGGCGCGGAGCAGCGCAGCTCGCCCGCCGTCGCCACGGGCTGCAAACGGGACACACGGGCCGCTTCCCCGCGGCTCGGCACGACTGGCCGGCCAGGGAGAGAAGCGGAATCACAGGAACGATGAGGTTGGAAAAGACCTCTGAGGTCAGCGAGTCCGGCCCGTGACCGAGCACCACCTCAGCAGGTGGACTACGGCACCAAGCGCAGCGTCCAGCCTTTCCTTGAACACCTCCAGGGTCGGGGACTCCCAACGCCTTCCTGGTCAGAGCCCATTCCAGTGTCACTCTTTCAGTGAAAAAAGCCTTCCTAGTGCCCATCCTAAACCTCCCCTGGTGTAGGTTAAGACTGTGTCCTCTCATCCTGTCACTTGTGGTGTGGAAGTAAAGTCAGACCCCCACCTGGCTACACCCTCCTGTGTAGGGAGTTCTAGAGGGCAATAAGGTCTCCCCAGAATCTCCTTTTCCCCAGGCTAAACACCCCCAGCTCCTTCATCTCATCAAACTTGTGCTCCAGACCTTTGCCCATCTCCTTGTCCTTCTTAGGACCCACTGCAGCACCTCAGTGTTCTCTTGTCTTGAAGGGCACAGAACTGGACACAGCACTTGAGTGGAGGCCTCACCGGTGCCACGTACAAGGGACTTGGAGCTGGTTCCTTTAGGTAACCACCAAAAGCCACCAGCTGCGTCCACAGGTGATGTTTGGCAAAATGAGCCAAAACCCTGTGAATCCTCCCCAAGAACTAATTCTTTGGAAATAAAGGTTTTTGAAGCAGAGCCCCAGCAGGCTCAGCACCACTCACTCTTCCTCCTGATGAGGTTGTAACCTGAGGTGAGGTTGTAACTCCTGCCAGCACCAATGTGGCTCTGACAAAATAACCTGGTATTAGCCAACACTTTCATTGCTCTGATGCATAAGAAAAAGGTAGAGAAGGTGAAGAACACTTGAAGTCACAAAATAATTTCTTAACTCTGCACTCCCCAGCAAATGTTTGCAGAATCAAATGAAAAAAGCTCGCTGCTAAACATATGCCAGGCAGAAGTTAGGCTAACACCCAGATAAAACCTCTTAGCTGCAAGATGACCATATTTGAACTAGGTTTGTCAGGAATTACTTAGAGTAGCTTAATCTTCCAGCATTGGCTGTAGTGTCATGTTTCAGCCTAGAAGAGTGTGGATGGCACAGCTGGCATAAGCAGAGTTCTAGAAGGACAGACTCCCCACTTCTGCTTACAAGTATGGCTCACTTCTGTGAGATGCTAACCTAGGGATTTCAATCTTCTTCATGTCCAGAGATCTCAAAAATGGCAGGATTTGGCAGAAAGTCGGGCCAAATAGCTTTCATGTGTGAAGTCAAGTGCAGACCAGATGCTACCCTTGCCACTGCAGACATTTATTGCTCATTTGTATTTTCTCAATAAAACTCCATTGCTTATCACAGTACAACTTCATACCCAACTGGTACAAGATGATGTATTTACTCTCTTGTAACTCATTTTCACGGTGTTAAACTGTCTCTGGAAGCATTTTGCAGCAGGAATCTCTGCATTCCTACATGAACCTGCTCAGCATGAACACTCTTTGACATCACACTTTTGAATGGGCCAGAAACAGAGCTTGTCATTTTTCTCTGATTGCCTTAATGAAGAGCTTTGTGCTAAATCCAGTAGCACGACCTACTGTTATCTGTTTTTTATCTTCCTCCAAACTGCTGGGTTTGCTAACTTTGACTTGAGCTATCAGGCTTACAATGTTTTGAGGATTTTCTACTCTTTTTCTTCTGATAGCAATAGAAAATGAGGACAGCAAGCACTGGGCTGATCCAATTACAATTTAACAAAAAAGACAATGTTTTTCTTCATTCTTGCCCATCAGTGACTCAGAAGTACAGGCACAGAGTCTCATCTTCTTTATGTAACATAACCAGAAAAGTCAATCTGGACACCCCATCTGGCATGGTGGAAAAATCTCCACATGGTTGGTTTAGTACTAAACCAGCTGATTTTTCTCCTGCTCTGCCTCCTTGCCAGGCTATACTTGCTGGATTTGTGTTGAGATATGCCTTATTCAGATGATAAAGAATGGTGTGAGACAATGGGTCTCTCAACAAGGCAGGGCTGTGCTCGCTCTCCTCCACTTGGGCCCAGTTCTGGAGTCTCACCATCAAGAATCCCTTAAGATTTTAGAGCCTCTAAGACAAACACCAAATGCCCAATAATACAAGACGTTCAAACAAAGTGCTGCTGTTTCTTCCCAGTTATCCTGCTCTTCTATTGCATGCCACAGCATTCACTGGCTTTTTCATAACACTGTGATGAAGTGAGCTGGGGAACCACAGCAAGGTGGGCAGCAGCTTTTGTGCTGTTCTGCAGTGCTGTAGCCCACCAGCAAAAGGTGCCCTGCTGCTGCTGATGGTCACCAGTTTGTGGAAACATCAGGCAATTGCAAATTGTGAGGCTTCATCAACATTTCCTAAAACGTAACTCTTGGGGCAAAAAAAGAAATCAGGAATTTTGAAAACAATTTCATGACTTCTGTCAGTCCTCCTGCATTTCTGCAAATGCTTTTGTGGATTCTGATGCCTCAGAATCCACAGATAATAACAGATAATAATAACAGATGTTATTATGGCTGTTCCTGCTTGTAGGTCTGGACTTTGATCGCATTATTTTTGCTGTGATGATCTCATTTGCTTTTCTAGTTCACTGACAAACTCTGCAGTGACACGCCCCTAAATGTAACCCTTCCATTGAAAAAAATGGGTAATGTTTTTAACAAACAACATGTAAGGTTTGAAAGATAGAAAACAAGTGATTAGTATCAGTATTCCCCTGATAAAGGGCTGGGCAGACCTGAAATCATGAGCCATCTCTGCTCTTTCATATTATTAAATACCATTTGTAACTGCCACAGACCCAGACTGAAGCTTGTAGGATGAATGTGTAGGAAAGGGCTCTTAAAAATGAAGAATGTAATAGTGTAAGGAAGCTCCTTTGTTTTCATTTTTGGATTTATTGTGAAACAATGAAATGGTCCATTAATCCAATGGATTCCCATTATTCCAACTGGATTCCACTAATTAAAGACTAACTTCTGTAAAGATTTCTGGATTTAAAAGTGTTGAATCTAATGGAATATAATTAACAGACAAGAGTTAAAGTTGTCAAAAAGGACTGTAATTTGTATTTGTACTAGATAAAATGAAGAAAAATAGGAAAATAGCACTTAAAAATATTATATATGTGTACATAAATATGTGGAAAATGTATGTTGATGGAAAATGCAAAGAGTGAAGGGATAACAATTACCTTGATCAAACCTGATGTTTCCACTATCAGCACAGGAAGGAAATAAAAGACCCAAACGATTTCTGAATTAGAAAAGAAGATAAATAAAGAGAATACTAGATGCAGAGAGAAATCAAGCTCTGCTTTCTCTCTCTTTTCAGAAACAATTTCATTTTTCTCTCTCTTTTCAGCAGGAATTTTGTTTATTTGAGAACCAAGAGACAGTGAATTTTTATTTCCCTCTGGCTTGAAGCATTTGCACAGTAGATGGCAGTAAAAACCCTCACCCATTTGACCAGTTGCTAGCAAAGGGAGTGGTTCCACTGCCGTGGGAGCTTCCTTGGTTGTCACAGAGTTACTGAACTCAGTTATTACAGTCTCCTCACCCTCATACCTTTTTTTTGTTTGCTCTTGGTCAGTATAGCAGTCCTCAGAGTATTATTATTTATCAAGTAAGGAAAGAGCAGCATGATCTCAGTGTGTGTACCAGTGCAGTAACAGAGCAGCAGTGCCAATCTGCACCTGGACCATTCTGGGCTGGGGCAGTCAGAGCCAGGCACCATCCCCCTAAAGGTACAGAAATAAGGGTAATCTCACAGCTCGAGTTTAACATTTAAATCTTCCCCAAGATTTTTGGGTTGGTTTGGGTCTTTTCCATAAGGTCAGCTGAGCAACTTTAGTCAGGAACAACTCTTTAAGCAGGTAAGATATCTTACAAGAGAGCCAAGGGAAAGAGCAGGATTAAAGCAGTGGATCTTCAGACAGTGAGATCAACACATTTATCATCAGCTCTTCTTAATTTACTTCATTTTCCTGTGTACTCAGGATGTATCATCTGGGCATTATAAACTTTCAATGAAATAGAATATGCAAGTTTTATAGTGCCACACTGTTACTGCCTTAGTTTCAGAAGCTGCATGCAGTCTGACACAGTTCCTAAAAAAACAGGATGGAAGTTTGGAAAATATTTTGCATGTTAAGAAAAGGAATGCTGAAAAGACCATGCTGTGGTTACAGATCAGCCAAAGGGCACACACACTTATTTTTCTTCTTTGCAAAAACATTGGTTTTAAAATTCCAGTTTTGCAGTGATGATTTTCTCATAGTTTTAATTCAGGGTCTACTTGAAACTTTTTTGGACCCAGAGGAAAAATAACTTTCACCAGCTGAAAGTATGTAGTGAAGGAACATTTGTGAAATACATCAGTGTAAAAAAAGAGAAAACAGCCACACATACACTCTCCCTCCAAAGAAAAGAAAACATGCAGATTTTTTTTTCTGTTTTTCCTGAAGATATTCTCCAGGTAACAATCCTTTCTGGTAGAAAACAGCACAACCACACATACACTCTCCCTCCAAGGAAAAGAAAACAGGCAGATTTTTTTTTTCTGTTTTTCCTGAAGTTATTCTCCAGGTAACAATCCTTTCTGGTAGAAAACAGCACAGAGAGTACTGAACAATTTTGTGCCTGAGAATATCCTCACATGTCTCATTACAATTCACTTGCTGTATGTAACCTTTTTACCCTCTCCAGCTTTTCTCCCACTTACTGGGCAGAGGTACAAGACACCATGGAAAGTGATGGTGTGCATCACCACTGCTCAGAGTGCCAGAAGCACCACACAGCAACAGAGAGTTTCACTTTCCAGTTGCATCTTTTCAGACTCAATCATGTTGTTTCAAAACAAAGTAAAACCCATGGAAGGTGTAAAACACCTGAAAGATTAAACATATTAACAAGGTATTGTGAGGCTCATATGCCCAAAGATAGAATTAAATGTGCAGGCACTTGGGAAAGCTTTCTGGCTTGC